ATAATTAAAGCCAAGATCCCAAAGGTTCTCTCTTCCTCTCACATCTAAGAGAGGCAGAAAAGACTTCCCTTAGGCACGAAAGTCAACTGGTTGAATAGGGGCAAGTCACTCTCTCTCAGCCCAATCCACCTCTCAACCCACTCCCCACCTCTGTTGTGTTGGGGAAAATAGGAGGCAAGAATAGTAAGTATGTTCGCCACCTTGAGTTCAACAAATGTACCAGTAAATAAAAAGGTGGGATAATATAATAATAATGATAGGTGGATAAAAATGCCAAATCCAATCTAAACATCTGGTTGACTGTGCAATGAACCACAATTATATTAATCTCCCAGTGAGCACTACTTGGATGTGGTTGTGGGGCTTGTTTGAGAAGAACGGGAGCTATGCCAGAGGTTTAACCATACTGGACCTGCAAATAGAAGCAGAATGACTGTGGCAAAAGAAAGCAAAGGTAGTACCTTGAGTGCAATCCCAAAATATCTGGAACACCACTTGAACACCATTGGCATTGACAAAATCACCATCAGTCAACTGCAAAAAGCAGCTTTACTTGGAACAGATTCTATCCTGAGACAATATCTTTAACACCATCGAACATTCACATCTGCCTATCCCAGGTTCTTGAGTAAGAACTTAGTAGGTGGATAAAAATGCCAAATTTATTCTAAATATTTGGCTGACTGTACAAGAAACAATAATAATAAAATTATACTCTGATTTCTCTTCAGGTCATATAAATGTTTCACCTTGTAAATATTTCTCTAGTAATACAGTATTAATAAACTCGACCTAATGGTTATATTTTGCCCACTAGATGGTGCTCATATGGATTTATATGAATAACATTCATACTGACAAAACTAATGTGCAAACCAACCCAGTCTCTGCCTTAGTTGCTGGGCAAAAATAAGATAATGCCTTTTTCCTAGCAAATCACTAAAGATATGTTAGCACTGGAAATCTACATTTGTTCAACAGCATCGTTGCATGGTGTTTACAGGCAATCTTCAACCATAACAGGGACCAGAATTTTGGTTGCTAAGCAATGCAGTTATTAAACAAGTCATGATGTGGCTAGGTCCAATTTTATAACCTTTTTATGGCAATCATTAAGTGAATCACCATGGTTGTTAAGGGAATCAGAAAGTCATTAAGTGAATCACATAGGCATAAAGTGAATCTCACTTCTCCGATTAACTTTGCTTGTCACAAGGCACCTGGGAAGACTGCAAATCACAATCACATGACTGAATGACACTGTAAAAAAATCATGTAACAATAGACAAGCACAACATATAAATACAAAATATAAAATGACGGCCAAGCAGATAGCAAGACAATCATAAGAGGACTATTACTCAAATGGCCCTTAACCTATGGGGAAAGTCAGGTCTTAACAGCTTTCTGAAGGAGAGAAGAGGTGGGGATTCTGTCATACATTGGGTGGAGAGGAAATTATTCCAAAGAATGGGGCAACTACAGCAAAGGTACACTTCTTAGGTCCCACAAAATGACAAGATTTAAAAGAAGGAAACTGGAGTATACCTCTCTCTGGCAGTGTGTAAGAGATTAGGGCTCAGATTATAAGATACATATGTGGAGAGTTGAAGGCTTTTAAAAAGATCTTGCTATTAAGGTGTGATAAGGGTGATGAACTGTTCTGTATTATTCTGATTATTCAGAAATCATTTGGAAATCAAATCATTTTCTTCCTGAGTTGTTCCTAGAATTCAGGGGAATGATTTCTAGAAATAGGGCCTTAGAAATGAAATTCAGGATGTAGGAGCCCTAGTGGCCCAGTGGTTAGAATGGAGTATTGCAGGCAAACTCTGCCCACAGCCTGGTGTTTGATCCTGATGGAGCTCAAGGTTGACTCAGCCTTCCATCACTCTAAGGTCAGTAAAATGAGATTGTGGGGGCAATATGCTGACATTTTAAACCTCCCAGAGAGTGCTGCAAAGCACTGTGGGACAGTATATAGTGCTATTGCTATTGCTATATCTCACAGAGGACATGGGTTGGGCAGCCTGAGCTCCAGGAAAAGCTACATTTTGGTGTCCTGGTTCAGATCTTCAGTTATGAATTTTGCAAGGTGAAAATTGGGGCTAGTTGCTTTGCCTCAGTCTATCTATTAGCTGCAAGCACAATGCTTGAATGAACGTGGATAGGTAAGTATTGGGGAGGAGGGAAACAGATATTTTCCCTAATGTGTGAGCATGTACAGAAACATGAGGAACATTACTACTAGGAGTGCAAAAATTCTTCTGATAAATTTCAAAGCTTCTGTGTCTTTCAGGGGAGAATACTTTCCATGTGGTATCACTTTCTTCTCTTGTGTGTTCTTAAGTTACCTACAAGTATACAGCAAGTCTTGGGAGCATAAGGGGAAGAAAATCACTTATAAATAAAATGCAAAAGCAACAGTATGACTCAAAGCCACACCACTCATTCTATAAAGCCCCACAGAAAGCATAAAAATTGCTTTTGCTCTTATTAATTTCACACCAAAAGAAACCAGGGAGAGGCAATTTCCCAAAACAAAGACTTCTGAAGGTGCCTGAAGGATTGCCAAACAAAGCTAAAAAGCACAGCTGAGCAAACTTGCAAGTTTTAAGCCAGGTGAAACAATACCTTGAAAAATGCTCTGTTGCAACAGCAGTTACAAAGAAAGAGATGAATGGGGCCTCTTGGAATATTGGCAGTCTTTGGTCACATTTCACTGTGCACGCCTAGTGCCCTAATAGCTGGCAGCCCCATTGATTTCTGTCTCCACAGAATTAACAAGACCTGAGCATAAGTGAAAATTTTGCTTTTGGTTAACCTTCATGTCCTTTTCCCCAAATTCTTGCTTTCGGGGTCTGCTAACAATGGAATGCTAACTTCTCCTTTCAAGTATATCAGAAGTGCCAGAGTCTCAGACTAAGTAAAAATAAAGTAATGCTAACTGGGGGGGAAAAAATCCCTTTTCCTCCTGTTTGCCTCCTTTGCTTTCCAGTCATTGCTCTTATGATGGTAGTGAAATAATTTGAGCAATACAGTCTCTGTGATCCTGCTGAGATGGAAGATTGGAAACCGATGCTGTCTGGCCAAGAAGATTTAGATTAGAACAAGGGTGTCAAACTTGCCGCGTCATGTGACATGTTGTGATGTATTGTGACTTTTTTTCACATTGCCGGAGCTGGGGTGGGCACGGCCTCCACATGATGGACCAGCAGTTTGACACCCCTGGATTAGAAAGTGCTGCTCCCCTAGGTCTCAAATAAACTATAGAGGAGGGAATTATTTGGTTGATTTAATTGTTTTAATCAGCTATGATTTATGCGGTGCATGGTGCAGAGACAACCTTGGTCATTGGAAATAATAATGACAACCTTTTTTCCTTTTGAGGGGTCCTCGGTGCTCTCTGAGCTTGCTTGTTTTCTTACAGACATTTCGTTACACAAACTACAGTAGCTAACATTATCAGTGCTAGTAAGGAGTGCAGTTTTCTGTCATTTTATCTTCTAGTGCAGGGGTAGTCAACCTTGGCTCTTTTATGACTCGTGGACTTCAACTCCCAGAATTCCTGAGCCAGCTTAGCTGGCTCAGGAATTCTGGGAGTTGAAGTCCACGAGTCATAAAAGAGCCAAGGTTGACTACCCCTGTATCTAGTGGCTTGCCTGTCAGTATTGGTGGGGGGTGGTCTTAGAGATACTTTGGTTGGGCTGTTAGATGTTGGCTTCTTTGGCAGTTTCTGATTGGGGTATTGCTTACTTGATTTTTGTTCTGGAGTTAATCCATGCTGATACTGGTGGAGAGGTGCTTGGGTCCTTTTGTTCGTTTTGGGGCTGGGTGATAGTCTCTTTTGCATAGTCTATAGATGTTGTTAATGTCTATGTGTCTGTGGATGGCTGATTTGTCAGAGTGCCAGACTTCTAGAAAAATGCCAGGCTTCTAGAAACAACCACTATGTAGGACAAACAGGCAGAAGACTGGCAAAACGCATCCACCAACATCAACTAGCAGTCAGAAGACATGATGAAAATTCTTTAATTTCACAACTTATAGACAGATTTAACCATAGTTTCAATTGGGAAAATGTGACCATCCTAGACCAAACCAAGTCCAAAAACGCCAGGGAATGTCTTGAAGTCTGGCACACTGACAAATCAGCCATCAGTAGAAACATAGACATTAACAACATCTATAGACCATGTAAAAGAGACTATCAGCCAGCCCAAAAAGGAACAAAAAGACCCAAGCACTTCTCCACCAGCAATCAGCATAGATTACCTCCAAGGTTAACATCAGACTAACAATCAAGTAACCAATGCCCCAATCAAGAAACTGCCAAAGAAGCCAACAGCAAACAACCCAACCAAAGAATCTCCAAGACCACCCTGACCAACACTGACAGGCAAGCCACTAGAACAGTGGTTCTCAACCTTATTAATGCTGCGACCCCAACCAGTCGTAAGTCGAGGACTAAACCGGTCGTAAGTCGAGGACTAAACCAGTCGTAAGTTGAGGACTAAACCAGTCGTAAGTCGAGGACTAAACCGGTCGTAAGTCAAGGACTACCCAACCGGTCATAAGTTGAGGACTTTCCCTGCCCGGGAGTGCCGCACATGCGTGGTTCCGCCCCCTGCGCCGGCCGAGACGGAGCAGGCCGACCACCAGCTGGCCCAGCCCAAGGGAGGTAAGGCACCCGCTGGAAAAGGGGGAAAAAAATGGCAGACAAAAAAAATGGCGGACAAAAAAAATGGCGGACAGCCTTGCTTGGCGACCCCCGTGAAATGGTTGATCGACCCCAAATGGGGTCCCGACCCACAAGTTGAGAACCACTGCACTAGAAGATAAACTGTCAGCAAATAGTATTCCATACCAGCACTGATGGTGTTACCTAGTTTGGGTAATGAAACGTCTGCAAGAAAACAAGCAAGCTCAGAGAGCACCAAGGACCCCCAGGTCAAACCTGAGCTACAAATATTCTCATTTATTTTTTCCCTTTTGTTTAGGAAACTATGGAGAGAGTGGCATGGAAGCTTTCAAGGAACTGGCTGCGCAGGAAGGCCTTTGTATTGCTCATTCAGATAAGATCTACAGCAATGCAGGAGAAAAAAGCTTTGAGAAGCTGTTACAGAAGCTCCGGGACAGGTTGCCAAAGGCCAGAGTTGTGGTTTGTTTCTGCGAAGGAATGACTGTCAGGGGAATCCTCATGGCTATGAGACGCTTGGGAGTTCTTAGAGAGCTTCTACTGATTGGGAGGTAAGTCATGTTCCTTTGCTTGCTGTCATATCGGGATGAAGAGGAGGAAGAAAGGTAAAACCACTGAGCTTGTTACTGCTATAAATCTAGAGTTTAGAAGTAAGAACTCTTCTGGAACACCAAGACCACAGTTTAGGCTTATTTTCCATTTCTTGTATCACCAACACCTCACGTTATTTTTTGAAGATAATTTCCATTTCACTTTGCCCTTAAAATAGCAGAGCAAATTTTAAAACCAACCAACGTTCTCTGGACAGGTTGCATAAATGAACAAAATGTGCTAAGTTGAGTACTAAAGATGGATTACATAAACACCTTCTGGTAAAAAGAAGCATCATGAGCTAGTAGTACGGTCTTACTTTATGTAAGAACTTGTTTTATTAGTTTATGACATACGTTGTGGATTAATAGAGGAGGACAGAGTTGACCTTGGAGAAAATACATGGCAACCATTAAGACAACATGAGCTTTGTCTGGGAAAACAAGACAGCGGGAGAAAGAAACTCAAGATTGCCCCACCTTGATTCTCTTTGGTATAAGAGGGAGGGAAGGCAAAGTACTTGCAGGCTTTCAAGAATCTGTTATTTTGGCCTAAAATAATTAATAAAGTAGAGTTCCGCTATTTCTTGTGGTATCTGCTTCCTGACCTGGCCTAACTTGAAGAGCTGACAGGTTTTGAATACTGATTCTTCCTCTTTACACATATCCCTACAGAAAGATCTCCAAATGTTTCATTTTCAATGGCTTGTTGTCTTTGACATATCCAAAATTCTATATCCACCCCAGGGTAGCATGACTAACTGAAATCTATGCAGTTCTTGCTTCATTGAACTTGCCAGCTGTGTGGTGCTTGATAACCACATTGGTCTATATTTCTCTCTTCCCTCCAAAATTAATAAAATGAATATTTTCAGTTAGAAATGAAGCTCTTTTATTACTTCATCCAATAACTGAAAACATGTATCATAATTAGAGATCCTTCTATATTTTTGAGTATTGAAAATATCATGAGAGCAAAAAGGTTTCCCAGGGAATGAAAAATTATATACATACAAAATGAAAACATTTTGATAATATTTCCAACATGCAGTTAATCTTGAATGCTGTGAGTATTTTATTTGAGTAAAACTGGCAACTTGAAATATAATTGAATTATATTTATGCAGGAAAACTCCGAATATGTTTGAGAAAAGTCATGTATTTTAGTACAAAGAAAGATCCATTTCTGCATTTTTCCTTTTGGGCTAAGCTAGAGGTGAGAAAGACTTTTAGTCAAGTATATGGATGATTCCTCTTTTCAGGCAAAAGCAGAAGCAAAAGTAGGTGTTTCAGATGATTCCACAGGTAATAGGTACAGGTGAGACAACCCTATTGCTAGTCATCAAAAATATCATGGATTTGGCAATCTGTGTCAACGGTAGAACTTGTTAAACCTTATGTCTTTTAAACATCATCCACAGATACCTGTTCTTTTTCTTCCAACTGCCTGAGGGTTTCAACTTGTCAGTGTTTCAATTTACCATTTCTTATGGGCCCAATGATGTATCCCTGCTCTCAGGAGTGGTAGACTGAGCTGTCAAAAAAGAGAATAGTAATCATAGGAAGCTTAGAGTATTCCTATTTCAGCAGGTACAAGTACCATGAAGCCTGTCAAAATAAGGGGAAGAAATTTTAAGTAAACACTTTTTTCCTCCAGCACATTTAATTCATAAACCTAGTGGCAGATGTTGTGAGAGTAATTCTCCCCCTTCCCTAAACAATTGCAAAAACTGCTGAATTAGGTAAATATATTTTTCCTTCCTTCCTTCCTTCCTTCCTTCCTTCCTTCCTTCCTTCCTTCCTTCCTTCCTTCCTTCCTTCCTTCCTTCCTTCCTTCCTTCCTTCCACTCAGACATCTGTATGGGCACCCAATATGCCTTCAAAAACTGATCTTCTCTCCTTCAAACATGCCATCTTTGAAAGGCCCAAGATTGGGAATTATGGACAAAAAGGAAGTATATAATGTTGTAATTATATACTCTCCAGTGATTGCTTCGGGAAGAGAAGTTAAAGAATTCTTTTACAGTTCAGTGATATTTATAAGCTTTCTCTCCCCTGTATATTAAAAACTTGTATCTAGATATCATGCTACCAGGGAGAGTGTATGATTGTTCACTTCAAAAATCTACCTGTTTAAGTTTCAATTTCTTCCTTTATTTTTTTCTCATATCTTTCTTTCATTTATCTTGTCTTGTGCCACCTCACGTCACTTTATGTAATAAGTCAGCAAAGGAGAGCATTAAAAGAGGAGGCTTCATCTGCTTTTAATTCCACATAATTCCTTTGAAATGTATAGGTTCGTGCCTACAGATATATCTGTAACAATATCATTTTCATAACTATAGTAAGATGATTAAAAAAAAGAAAAAAGAAGAAAATGTACAGCTTGGAAGAAAGGACAGCAACTTTCTCTCACCCACCCACCCAATATTCATCTGAAATTTTACAAGTTTCTTAGTGTCGCCTCTGTGCTGCAAGCTCAGATGGGAGCTGTCATGTAAAGCTTAAACTGCTTTTTAAATTGCTTGACAAACTGAAAGAAGTCACAAAATCTGAGAAGTAAACATATTAATAAGACAAATTATGATGTCATTTTTCACACTGGCAAAATCTGTTTTTTTAATAACTGAAATAATATTTTGGCTAATCTTAATAAAAGCCCTTATTTTTCTAAAACAGAAACTTGATATGAAGACAGATAATACTGACATTTCTGATGTCCTTGAACTGTACTGAAATCTGTAATGTAATGCACTGAGTTCCTTGGACCATAGGAATGCATTGACATCTTTCATAGAAGAACCAGTGAAATATTTAGTGACAGCTTCTCTTATATTTATTTATTTGAAAATATTAATTGCCTGTCCCAATCCTGATAGATTCTTAGAGAACAACAAGGCCAGTACAATACTATCTAAAAAGTATGGATACGATGACAATAAAAAGAACCATCTAATTACAGAAGCCCCAAATCAAATGAGATCTGAAAACACATTTGAGTAAGGTGGAAGGCCTACGAACCTCATTAAAAATAGAAAACTTCAATAAGTTCATATAAAAATAATTACACAAAAGTTCAGTCTAATAGTACCAAGAGCTGTGAAGAAATATCCAAACTACTATAGGAAATTAATTTAAATGTTTTTTTCCCAATCACCAGCAAAAATATTCATGCAGAGCTTCCCACCTAGGGAGTAATGTGTGAGTGTTATTGACTTTTGTTGGCTATCAGTAAATCTAGTTTTGCACGCAAGAACAATACAAATAAGTTTTATTAGGATTATACTGATTTCTCAAGAAGATTAGGCTATGCTTTTATATTCAGTGCGGGATAGTGCTTGCATTCCTTTTATACAAAGATTGAAGCTGCGTACACAAGACACATTGGTCTGACATCTCCATCCGCAGTCTGTGGAACAAAGGAGACAAAACTCCACTCAAGATGTGAACCTAAGTTTTACACCTTCTTAATAGTATCCTAACTTCAGCCCAGATTTAAGATCTCAAAATGGTGCTGGGATAGCAGCAAAAGTTATTAAAGTTGATAGTAGCAACCTTCCACACAGTGAGAGTTATGTCTTTTGGAATGATTTACCAGTAAGTTGAACAAAGGAGAAATAAACAATGGTGCAAAGGAATAAGATGGGGGGCTGCTTGATCCCAGATGTCACCTGATTTGGAAATGTGGCTGTGCCAGAAAGTCTGTTTCTGTAATTACAGTAATATACCAACTACAGCATTTTCTGAGCTGACTAGACATAGCAACAATCATCCAACCAATCTTGACTCCTGTTCTGCACTGTTATCCTTGAAAAGTAATTACCATTAGTATAAGATGGGTGGATAAACCAGCGCCAGATACAGGGAAGATATAATTTCTCTTATGATAGTTTCCCTCCTTGGTTGCCAGTTACCTTCTGGGCACAATATAGAGTGCAGATCTTGGTCTAGTGGCTAAGTCACCAGGCTACAAAGTGGGAGAGTGTGAATTCTAGTCCTGCCTTAGCCATGAAAGCCAGCTGGGTGACTTTGAGACAGTCACTCTCTCTCAGCCCAACCCACCCCCCAGGATTGTTGTTGTGGGAAAAATAGGAGGAGGAAGATGTGTTGGATATATTTGTAGCCTTGAGTTATTTCTAAAAGTAATAAATCTGGGATACACATAAATAAAATATTTAAACTCCTTCAACATTTTTTTCTGAGAAACTGAACCTTGTGTGTCTTCAGTTGGTTGCTTGTTACAGAATAGTTTACTTATCTTTCACTCAGTTGACTACAGTGTACGGTATATTCTTCCTTTCCCCTTTTGTTGCTATATTGATTTTCTGTCTTCTCTGGGTAAAATCATGTCTCATTTTTCTATCTTCTTAGTCTCTATGTCTCTTATGAATTCTTAATTTACATTTCTATTTATTGCTGTAGCTTGACTTAACTTCGGCCATATCCTTGTTTTACTGCATTCTTCTGCTGGTGCTCGAATTCCCTGCCTCTCCATCCTCCGCCAGCCCTCACAAAGGCCCTTGTTAATTGCTTGCAGGTGCTATGCTTTTCTTTAGCTTTCTGTTGCTGGGTAGAGGGGGCGGTTTCGCAGCCTCCATTTCTGGTCTGCTGCTATGCTGACTTGCTTCTTCAAGCCTCCTGTTGGATCTTTCGTCTTCTCGGTAGTCTCTGTCAGCTCCCTGTCTTTACATTCCAAGTTTTGCCTTTTCCGGGCTATCAAAGGCTTGTCAGCATTCTGGACTTCATTTTTCTAGATGTTGCTGTGGCAACTTATAAGATCCTCAATTCCTTTGTCCTTCTCTCACAACAAGCTGTCATACTGCTCCTGCTCCAATGACTCTCCAGCCAAAGGTATTCTCACCCGGCCACTGCCACTGAGACTTCAGTTGCTGTTGCCAGTCTCCGGGGTTCTCCCAGCCTTTAGCAGAGTTCTCCAACCACTTGCTGTTCTTCATACACCT